GGCTGGGGAATTCTGGGAGTTGAAGTCCCTACAGCTAAAAGTCGCCAAGGTTGAGTGTAGACTAAAGAAAGGGCTTATTTCTAATAAAATTGATAGGAGGACAAAAAAATACAGAAACGCTTTTGACGTTCAACGGCGGGGGATATCCGAAGGATGTGACTTCCTGCTCTTAAATTCAGAACGGACAACGTTTCGATCTGACTCCAATAATTTTTTTCCTTTTGCGATCATAGGAGAAAGACAACAGGAGGCACCAAATGAAGTTACCGCTGAGGCCAAGACGGAAAAGAGGAAAGAAAAGCTGATCCTCCCTCCCGTTTCTCAGCAGAAGCGTCGGGTAGAATTCTTGACGCTTCCTTCCCCCTGTTCCAAGGTGAAATCTGCATCACGTTGATAGAGAATCTTTTCTTCTCGTCTGAAATTAACGACTCGATCGGCCTCTATAAAAGCTTCTCCCCCCCCTTTTTTTATTTTTTATAAAAGATGTTTCAAGTGCTTGGAAAAAAGCAGATAAAATTCTACTCATGGGCGAACAGCTCATCTATCTTACAAGGGAATTAATTTTCTTTCAGTGTGTTGACTGAGAAACTACTCGCGATACGCAACTGCTTAAGGGCGCACGCTTGGTTTACCCCAAAGTCCGCCTCGTTGGACGATACGCAGTGATCTCCCAGAGCGTGGGGGTCCCAAGCGAAGCGTGGCCTTGCCTTAGTCGCCCCCTCTGTCCAGATTTTCGATCACGCGAGACAGACGGATGTTCAGGAGTCTGATCTGGCTGTCCAGATGGTCAATCTTCTCCTCCAAGGTGTTGTGACTGTTCCGCCTCCAGTAGAAGCTGACGGGCCCGGTCATGAAGTAGACGGCCACGACGAAGCAGAGGGGAAGGACCGCGTGTTCGGGCTCGCTTTCGTATTTCTGGAGGATGTACACGCAGGACAGAGCGAACAGGACGATCCGGACGATCCAGAAGAATCGCCCGCACAGAATGTGCAAGAGGTAAAAGAAAAATCCGAGGAGAAGAGAAACGAACCAATAAGCCAATAAGATGGCCCCGATCAGCAAAAGGGCCCGGGCGGGATTGCTGGCTAGAGCAGTGTGGCTGAAATAATGGGTCAGATTGGAACCTGAAAATCAAAGCAGAAAGGGGAGAGGTAGGACACAGGAGAACAGGCACCACCAGCAAATGAAAAATGCGTGCATCAGAACAAGGGTGTATTCCTCAGGAAAGATTTGATGGGTGTACAAACCACCACCTGAAAACTCCTTCGATACCCGGGAAAAGAGCTGTTGAAGATCATCTAGCTCGATCCCATGTTTTTAACAACCAGGCCTGTTAAGACTGACTTTTCTGAGAACCAGAGGAACTCAGCACCAAGCCCATTCAACTAACTGTAAAATATCCATTTTATATCATCCCCCTTCCCAGTGAGTGACTCTTCACAAATTATTTCCCTTTTTTGACTAAGATGAGAGACAATCAGCTTGGGATCAAGATCAAGACTCCACAAAACGTTGCTGTTTTCCCCACCTACCATCAATTCCAAGGACATCTAGAAGATCTGTCCATATTCTCCACAAGGTATCTACTAGAACGTCCACGCCGTACACGAATCGCTCTGTCAGTCTGGAGAAAAACTGGAAAGGCAAAACAGAGAAACAGAGCAGAAACGTTTCATCCTCTGGAATTTTAAGTGTTTCTTAGGAAAGGAATCGCTTCTTCCAAGAGCACAGAAGATGGACGGGTGTCTACCAGGAGACTGGATTTCCCTCGCCCACATATTAAAGATAAAAGGGAAAAAGGCCATGGCATGAATGTAATTATGAATCATAGCATGTACTTTGTCCCTGTGCCCGTCCAGGGACATGTCCCAGTCATGTGCTCCCAAGGGTTGAGGGAAGAAAGGAGCCGAGAACCAACTGCCAGGGAGGAGAAACGATCTGGGAAGGAGTTTGGGGTCAAGGAAGGCTAAGCAGAAAGAAATCCCTCTTTTCGCCTAAGGATTCAGAGGGTTGCATTCTCTGGTCTTCCTTTGCTTTTGGATTCTCTTCTCCTTCCAAAGGAAAGGAAAAGGAAAGTGCCACCATTCATGCACGGAAAGCCACGGGTGCAAGGACAGGCCCAGAAGGACATCCGGGAGGGGAGAAAACCAGCCATTCCTTGCTACAACCATGCCCAATTTCTTTTATCCTCCTAGACCCTCAGTTCCTCCTGCCAGGATTTTGTCTAAGCACCTTATAAATCAATCAGTCCAGCCGGACCTCCCAATAATACACGATTCTTCCCCTGTTGTTATCATTTCAGACTGGTTCTTCTTCCAAAAGCTACCATGGTTTACAGTTCTTCCTCTTTCCATCCCGAAGGCCTGCTAATTCTAATCTCTTATCTTTACTTCTTCCCCTTAATGTTATTATTATTACCAGCTGTTTGCCTATGCTGTTTGTTACCATGAATTCCACTTCCTACTAAGATAGCCTTCCTGTTACTAGCAGCCTTATCAAACCACGTTCTCCTCTTCCTCCTCCACCATCGGCTGTGCCTTCTCCAATTCACTCTAGTTTCCATTCCTATTCTTCCCACGACAATGGCGGTATCATTGATCAATCCCCCTTCCTATTAGGTCCCCCTGTTATTAGCACCCTTGAGTGACTGACCATGGGCCATCAAGTCCGTGTTGACTCGGGGACCCCTGAGATGCATCTTCTCCAGGGTGCATGAGTAGAAACCCTATTCTCCTCCCATTTCGATGACTTTCCCATCATCATCATCATCATCATCATCATCATCATGATGTTAACTTTCCAGCGGGCACCCCAACGGGGCTAACCAGGACACTGAACATCCCCAGTCATCACCCCCCCCACCATCATGATGTTCACTTTCCGGGGGGCACCCCAACATCATCGCCAGGTCCCCTTCCCAGCGGGCCCCCGAGCGGGCCAACCAGGACATCTCCAGTCGTGCTCCGGCCGCCCACGCCAGAGCCGGGGGCCGCCCCTCTCCCCGGGGCAAGGGGCCCCCGCGCCCTCCCCGCTCGCTGCCCCCGGCCCGACCCTCCCCGGCGCCGCCGCGCCGCGCGCTCCTGCCCGGGCGCCGCTCACCTTCTGCAGGGCGCGCACGTTCTCCTCGCCCAGGAGGCCGCTGGCGCCCTGGTAGACGCCGCTGGCCGCCCGCCGGAGG